GCTTTGTAGTATAGCTTGAAGTTTGAAATTGTAATGCCTCCATTCTCTTTCTTCTTAGTCATGAGAGTTCTGGCTATTCGAAGTCTTTTGTTGTTCCATATGAATCTCATCAATATTTTTTCCATTTCTTTGAAGAATGTCATTGAGACTTTTATTGGGATGGCATTAAATGTTTATATCGCTTTTGGTAGGATGGCCATTTTGATGATGTTAATTCTCCTGATCCATGAGCAGAGGACATCTTCCCATTTCATGGTGTCTTCTTGTATTTCTTTTAACAATGTTTTGTAATTTTCTTTGTATAGGTCTTTTACCTCTTTTGTTAGGTTGATTCCCAGGTATTTGATTCTTTTTGTTTTAATTGAAAAGGGGATTTTTTTTTTCTGCTTCTTCTGATTGGTTGTTTGTGTATAGGAAGGCCTCTGACTTTTGAAAATCTTATACATTTTTAATACTGAAATAATACTGTAATCACTTAAAAAGTGAGAAAAAATGGTACCAGAAGTATGATAAATCAATGATTGCTGTGACAATCACAGCAATCACAAGCATCACCTGTCAGTATCACCTGTCATCACTTCACATACCTCATTTCATGACACCTTGTCAGTGTTTCTCCATGCTGTCTCAGTCATTTTTCTTTATTGAGGTATAATTTAAAAATAGTAAAGTGTGGCCCTCCCTGGTGGCGCAGCGGGTTAAAGCACAGCACTGAGAATCTAAAGCCGCTTCCACATGAGTTCGATTCCCGCCTGCCCCGGAGGTGACCACATGGTGTGGCAGACCTCTCCTGACCCACCCGCTGCTCCCCTCAGCAGTGTACTTCATCCATCTGCCTGTTCTGTTCCCCACTCTGTCTCTGGTGAAGCCTCTCACCGCCCCTGAGCCTCTGGCCTGTACCCCAGTTCTGTATGCACAAATAAATAAATCTTTAAAAAAAAAAATAGTAAAGTGTGAAGATCTTAAGTATGCAGTTCAAAATTTTGACAATCAAACCCCAAACCTAAGACACAGAATACACCTCTCACCCCAGAAAATTCTTTTCAGTTAATCTCTTATCCTGACCACCTAAGGCAACCACTCATCTACTCTCTACTACCATAGAACTCTTTTGCATTCCCTTGAGCTTAATAGAAATGTAATGATTCAGCATGTACTACTCTGTACACTATATTTTTGAGGTTCACCCATGTTTTGTTACTCTTAGTTCTTTCTTTTTATTCTGAGTAGTATTCTACCAAATAAATATATATCACAATTTGCCTGTTTTATTTTTTAATGCATATTGGGTTGTCTCCAGTTTGGGGCTATTATGAGTAAAGTTGCTGTGAATATTCATGTCCAAGTCTTTTGGGAGATATTTATTTTCATTTCTTTCAGGTGTTTAGCTGGGTCATAGGTGACCACCCACATGTCTATCAATTGATAAGTGGGTGAATGCAACATGGTAATCCATAATGGAATATTATCCAGGCATATAAAGAAATAAAACACTGATATGTGCTAAATTATGCTAAGTAAAAGAAGTCAGGCATCAGAGGTCACATTTTGTAAGATTCCAGATTCATAGAGAAAGTTGATTAGTGGCTACCAGGGACTGGGGGAAGGGATGAATGGTAGAACATATGCTAACATGTACTAGGTTCTTTTTAGGGGTAAAGAAAATGTTCTAGGATTAGAGAGTGGTAATGGTTGTGCAATCTTGTGAATATACTAAAAATCACTGAATTTTGCACTTTATAAAAGGTAAATTTTACAGAATGTGAATTATTTCAATAATAAAAGAAAACCTTCTATAAAAAAAGGATACCTTCTGTGAAACTCCTTGAGGGTTAGATATAAAGAATATGAGACATTAGGATTACTAAAAGAGGATACTATGGAATATTTAGAATGTATTAAAACATTTTCTACTATAAAATGCAAAACCCAGTAATTTCTGCAGTAGTTTGAGAGATGTATAATTTTTTCTTGTTGGATACTAAAAAGAAAATGCTGAGCCAAACACATAGTTAGGTGACAAAGAAAAGTCAAAAATCATGAAAACATACTGTTCTAATTTTATTATAGTACAGTCATAATTACTGCACACTGAAATTCATTAAGTTAAAAAGATGTATAAACAGTCAATATTAATGAAATATCTAAAGCAAATTCATAGCTCAGAGATTTATATGACTTACATATTTCTCTACTGCACTTCTAATAGTTTCCAGCTTTAACAAATCACACATCTCTAAACCTTCAGCCATTTCTGTTAGTTATGTGGAAAGTTTCCAAAAAATGTTTCCTGCTAAAATAGCTTTATCCTTGGCCATCTTACTGGTAAGATTCATAAAATACTTGATAATTTTGCATAATAAATTTGTAAGACTAAAAGAATATCTAAAATACATTGATTAGGGCCCTCCCTGGTGGCACAACAGGTTAAAGCCCAGCACTGTGGGGCTGCACACAGCACCTGCCGCACCAGTTCAATCCCCGGCCAGGGAGCTGACCCACATGGTGAGCAGACTTCTGTCTCACTCACTGCTCCCCTCAACAGTGTGCTTCACTTGATCTGCCTGTTCTGCTCCCCACTCTGTCTCTGGTGAGTCCTCTTACCCTCCGGATCTTTGGCTTGTACCCCAGTTCTTGTATAAATAAATCTTTAAAAGGTAAATAAAACATATAGGTTAAAACATCACTGTTTATTAGGCCAAGCAGAGTTATCACAACTCACAGTTGAAGTTTGAGGAAGAAAACCCATAGAGCCCTTTATGTTTGCTTGACTTGACAAGAGGAAGGAATAAAAATGGTGACAAAAGAGAGAGAAAGAAAGAGACAAAAAAGGATGGAGAAAGAGGACTTGGAGGTATGAGGGAGAAGAAGAGATGAAAAGAAGAGAGATCTGTATATACTTTTATCCTTTATGAACCCTAGCAAAAACAGCCACAAACATCACAGCTCTAATCTCAATTCTAATGTTTTTTAGGTGGGATATTATCCAACTTGTTTGAACTTAACATTTCTTTTTTAAAAACTTAATAATCACACTGCCTGAAAACACCCAGCTTAAAGCATTTACTCACAAACAATAATGTAAGGGTATAGTGTCATTTTCCTTAGCCAAATAGTTTGACAGAGCTGAATTGTCAAGTAGTTTTGACATTCATTTGAGCAAGAAAACACAATTTCTATTATAAATAAAAATTATTTTTAAATGTTAAAAGTATGAATATACACATTACATAAAGCTTTTATTGAGGTATACATGTCACAAAATTTGTCATTGTTTAAGTATGTAGCAGAATGACTTTAGAAAATTTATAAGTTGTACAACCATAACCACAGACAGCTGCTTCATGTCTTTCTTTTAAGTCAATCTTCACTCTCACCTCCAGCCCTAAGAAACAACTGATATTTTTTATCAGCTTAACAATTCGAATGCGCACAGTAGTATCAATAGTGATTTTCATTTATATTTCAAGTGCTTATTAGCTATTTATCTTCTTTGGTGAAGTGACTGTTCAAACCCATGTTTTGAGTTGTTTTCCCCTTGTTGAGTTGTAAGAGTTCTTTATATACTCTGGACTCAAGTCCTTTAACAAATATATGACTTGCAAATATTTTCTCCCAGTGTTTGGCATGGCTTTCCATTTTCTTAATAATTGCCTTTTGAAGAAACATGTCTTAGGATATCAAATTTATTGTTTTTTCTTTTATGTATTATTCTTGTAAAGAAATCTTTGCCTAAACCAAGGTCACAAAGACTTTCTTGTTTCCCCCACTTCCTTTATTTACTTCTTACATTGAGACCTATAATCCATTTTTGTACATACACCATTATCACACATTTTAATAATTACAGCTCTAAAATGTCTCAAAACTGAGTAAATTATCTAATTTTGTTTGTCTCAAAACTGTTTTAGCTATTATAGGTCCTTGGCATTTCCATATAAATTTTAGGATGAGTTTGTCAATTTCTATAAACAAGCCTAGCAGAATTTTAACAGGGTCTCCACTGAATTTATAGATTGAATTTGAGAGAACTATGATCTTAACAACATTGAGTCTTCCAAACCATAAACACAGTATCTGTTTATTTAGGTTTTCTTTTTCTCAGAATTGTTTTGTAGTATTTCAGTGAGAAAGAGAGAGCATGTGTTTAAATTTTTTAAAGTATGCCTAAAAAGCAGCAGAGTATCTAGTGTTGAGATTCAATCTGGGGATTAAGATATATTAGCTACCCAACAATCTCATTTTAAAATTAGGTTAAAACCTGAGATTTTTCACCACCCTTCTTGCACTCATGTGCCCCCAGCAATAGTTTTAAAGACCAATGTACATCATCAGAATTGTTATTGCTCAGTATTATTTTGGGAGGGATTCTGAAACAAAGAAGTCCACAATCATAGGGAACAGGCAATTCAAATTTTGCTATTTTAATTGGGAATTAGATACAAATTTTAGTCATCTTACTGGTGTATTTAATTATAATAGTTCTGATTAATAATTGCTGCTTACTTTCTCATACAAGGGATGGACTCCCATCCAACTCATAAGTTTTTCTGGGAGCTTCCACAATCTGTTTCCTATCATTAATTATTTAACTCTATCTATCTTCAGTCTTTGTATACCCAGTCCTAGTCCAAAGCTTTGGCATCTGTCTATATGTAAAAAGTGTTTACAGTAATAGGAAATCTGATTTAATGAATATGAATAATGAAATATGCATAACTCTTAAGATATTTTATTTTTATCTGTAACTATAGAAAAAAGAATAGCTAAATGAACACCTTCTAATTTTATTCTGACAGCTATTATAAAGCTTATAGTGAAGCACTGCTCCTATCAACCTTTCTATATGCCTTTTAACATCTCCTTCAAGGCAAGTAATAAGCTTCGAAATACAAAAAGCTAAAACAATTCTGACCCAAATTATGTAGACCCAAGCTTTGGTCTATATACTGTATGTTATAAACTTATATAAAGTAGTATTTCCATCAAAAAGTTCTTACTTTTGGAACATGAGGATTAAATTCCACAGCTCTATGAATTGCTTCCACAGCATTAATTTCTGCTGTGCTTAACCCTCTTCTGGAGGCTGTTTCTGGAGAAAATCTGTAAGAAAATAAGAGAGGAAGAAATGAATATTAAAAATATATGTATATTGTATTTTAAAGTATATATCGGTAATTTTAGACAGCATCTATTCCGTTAGTCAGAGGCTTTTGGTAATGGCCAAAGACAAAGACAAATAACCACTAAGTATGAAATAAAAGCTAATGTAGTAAACTAAACAGCAGCATAAGAAATATAAATCTTCAAATTTAGGTGAAGAATGTGTCTAAAAGTCCACTCTGGGAAAGGTAATAAAATAAGAAATGTCACACAAGGACATCCAGAGAATCTTCTGTGATAGATGTATATTTTTATCAAGTTCTCATTAAGAGAAATAGACTGAATATTCAATTCTAATTCTATCAAGGCACAGTAACCTAAAGTGGAAAAAAAAGTCACTTATTGACTGGTTTCTGATTATCATCTGTGAAATAAAAGAGAAATTCATTAAAGGCAGTCAAAATACATGGAAAACAATAACAAAATTATGATCTTAGAACAGGTAATATGAAACCTATTTGTTTACCATATACCTTATCATTATCATATATAGTCTACTTTATGTACTTTTTCTAGGCATCTTGTATTCATAATCCACACACAAATACCCCACAATATTATTGTTCTCATTTTACAAAGGAATCTCATTTTACAAAACCAAACTAATTAACTTGCCCAAAGACCCATAGCTGATATGTGGTAGACTAAATTTGTAGTCAAATTTACTTAATTCTAAGAACCTTGCTCTTTCTACTACATATAGCAAAATGGCTCAAAGCCCCATACACTCAAGGGTTATTCAAAAGGAAGGCAGTAGGGAGAAAAAGAACACTTTTTAAAGTTAATGAAGGAAAAACATAATGTTGAATTTAGCTGTCTGTCTAAATTATTATAGTTTTCCTAACTTACTTATCTGAAACAGTCCTTGTCTTCAGTAGTGCTGCTGTGTAACAGATTGCTGCTGACTTTGGAAGACTTATATCTGTAATAAAAATTTTCAACTTAGGTAAGAATCAAAAAGCATTTTAAAACAATCTCTAGTAAGAATAATTTATAGTACAAATCCAACAGATGTAAGTTAGTAGCAGAAGAATGCAGGTATATAGTTGGAAGATGTACAATTAATAAATCTTGACTGTCTTTTACTTATTATGTAACTTTGAACAAACTTAACCCGTTTTCTCATCTCAAAATAGGGAAATGGTACTTTTCTGACAAAGATGAAGTATGTATGTTAAAGTCCTTAGCACAGTGGTAAAACATACTCAACAAATGTTGCTAACAAACTATTTATAATATTATTATTCAGGAAAAAGGGTATAGTAGAGTTAGAACAATGTAAAGACACTACCTAGTCACAGAAAAAACTAAGACACACACACACAAAATTAACAATAGTCACATCCAGATGAAAAGTCACAGGTAATTTAAATTGTTTTCTTCTTCCTATGTTTTTGTATTTTCTACCTTTTCTTCAGTGATTTTTTTAATATAAAATAGAAATATTAACCAGGAAACTATAATAAAATGCATTATATAGATATTTTTCTTAAAGAATGCCTAAGATAATAGCACCAGGAAAACAAGACTATAGAATTTTCATGAAGTTTTAGATTCCATGGTTGTAAGAGCAAGTAACGAACTGAAGGAGTAAATTTGTTTTTAATTTCTTCAGGATTCTAGAATGGTAAAAATTGGGCACTCATAAAAGTAAGTGTAAACATAGAAGCATATCTAAGTTGCTGGTTTTATTTTTAATGAATCAGAAAATATCAGAGTTTTTAATAGTCAGTCCCTCAACTTGCTCTTAAGTTTCATAAACAGGTCATGCATCTGATAACTCACATATGGAAAGAATTTCTCACAAATTTCTACATGTGCCTACATTATTCTGGAGTACTTCTTAAGAATTCCAGATGTTTTAAAGAAATAAACTTCTCTTTTTCCAAGTGTAATACATTTCAAACTTTCCAAATCATGGAGATTCCTAAGCTATTGAGTAGGAACTTACAACAGGACAAGAGTGAAAAGTAGCATATATATTCTGCTCTAATGAAAGATATGACACGAAATATTATTCTAGTTAGGTTATTTCAGCTTAGGGTTAAAAGTTGATGCCTCACTCAGAATGAGAGGGTACCCTTCCTTAAAATTCTCCCAATTCCAGCCCTCCCTGGTGGCGCAGCGTGTTAAAGCACAGCACTTAGAAGCTAAAGCCACTTCTCCATGAGTTCAATCCCTGCCTACCCCAGAGGTGACCACATGGCATGGCAGACCTCTCCTGATCCGCCCACTGCTCCCCTCAGCAGTGTACTTCATTGATCTGCCTGTTCTGCTCCCCACTCTGTCTCTGGTGAGTCCTCTCACGCTCCGCATCTCTGGCCTGTACCCAGTTCTGTATGAATGGATATATCTTTAAAAAAAAAAAATTTCTCCCAATTCCACTTATGGTAAACAGGCACTATTACAGTATAACAATATATATTTGTTCTTATTTAAAAGAAAAAAAGAAAGAAGTGGATTATCTTGATTTAAGTGTAGGCTTGCCACTTACTAGCTGGGAGAACTTACCCAAATTTCTGCCTTACTCAACTCAGTTTCTTTATTGACTAACTGGGGATAATATAAATACTTGTCCTACCATCCCACAAGTTTATTATCAGATTCAAATGACATATTATACTTTGTAAAGATACTTTGCTGAGTTACTCTTATACATACTGCTAAACAATTTCTGCTAACCTCCCTAGATACTCTAAAATAAATGAGGTACTACTGCCTAGAAATAGCACACTACAATTTTCCAGTTATCTCAGCTAAAACACTATATATTACTACAACTACTATTCATTTGTCTGTATGTTACACTAAACTATAAATCATGAGGGGCAAGTCAATGACTTCTGGAATACCAATGCTATTAAAAGCTCAAGAAAACCAAAATGAGATCATCACCAAGACACACAGCAGTAAAGCTATTATGAGATAAAGAATATTGAAGGTAGCCAGGAGTAAAAAGAAGATAACTTACAAAGCTACTTTCATAAGATTTCTCAGCAGAAACTCTACAGGCAAGGAGAGAATGGAAGGATATGTTCAAAACACTCAAAGATAGAAACTGCCACCTAAGATGAGATGTTATAACAGACATTTCAGCAATAAAGAGGATCAGAAAAGGCTGCTATGAACATTTTCATGCTAAAAAGAAATCTGAACAGATGAATTACAAGAAAGAATATTGAAAGATTAACCAAAAATCTCACAAAAAACAAAATCCCAGCAACAGATAGTTTTCAATAAAGAGTACAAACACAAATATCTACCCTTCTCAAAAAAATGAAGAAAAATGAAAGAGACTAAACACACTTTATGAAGTTAACATTATTTAACCAAAATAAATAAGGACATCACACAAAGAAAGCTCTAAGGCAATATCTCTGATTAACACAGATAGCAAAATTTTCAACAAATTTTTATAAAACAAATTTAACAATAGATTACACAGATAATATATCATGATTGGGATTTATTCTTTGAATGCAGGTATGGTTCAACATAAACAAATCAATCAATGTAATTCACCTCCTCAACAAAAAGATTGAAAATCTTATGATCCTATCATTAGATGCAGAGAAAACACTTGACAAGATCCAATGTTAATTCACAATTAAAAAGTCCCAATAAAATGTGAATAAAAGCACATACTTTAACATAATAAAGGCCAAATATGACAAACTCACAATGAAAATCATACTCAGTAGAGAAAAACATGAAAGCTTTTTTTCTAAGAGCAGGTGCAAGATAAGAATATCTATTCCATGGGCCTCCCTGGTGGAGCAGCAGGTTATAAGTGCAACACTATGAAGCTATCCATAGCCACTGCAGCATGAGTTTAATCCCTAGCCAGGGAGATGACCCACATGGTGTGACAGACCTCTCCTGTCCTACCCACTGCTCCCCTCAGCAGTATATTTCAGTCAACCTGCCTGTTCTGTTTCTGACTCTGTCTCTGGTGAATTATCTTATCTGCCGCACCTCTAGCCTGTACCCCAGTTCTTGTATGCATAAATAAATAAAATCTTTTAAAAACAATTTTTAAAAATGTCCATTCCCCCAAAACTACTCAATATATTATTTAAAATCCCATTTAGATCTGCTAAGTAAGAGAAAGATATAAATGGAATCCAAACTGCAAAAGAGAGCCCTCTCTGGTGGTGTGGTGGGTGCAGAGAGAGCCCTCTCTGGTGATGAAGCTAACTGCAGCTGCATTAGCACTAGCTTGAACCCCAGCAAGGGAAGTGACCCTTGTCATGTCTTGCTCACTGCTCCCTTCTGCAGTGTACTTTGTCCATCTGCCTGTTCTTCTCCCCACTCAGTCTCTGATGAATCCCCCCACCCCTCGCACCTATGGCCTGTATATATAAATAAATCTTTTTTAAAAAATTGCAAAAGAAGAAAACTACCACTATGTGCACATGACAAGATAATATACACAGAAAACCCTATAGACTACTAAAAAAAAAAAAAAAACTAGTATAAACAACAAATCAGTACAATGAAGTGAGAGGCTAGAAAAGTCAATACACAAAGATCTTGTATATTCTAATAGGCAAACTGGAACTAGAAAAGAAATAGAGAAAACAATCTTATATCCAATAGCTTTAAAAAGAACTAAATAACTAGAATTAAAATTAATAAAAGAGGTGAAAACCTGTACAACAAAAACTAAGACATTATTAAAAATGGGAAAGGGAGGGCACTTCCTGGTGGCGCAGCGGGTGAAAGCACAGCACTAAGAAGCTAAAGCTGCTTCCGCATGAGTTCGATTCCCGCCTGCCCCGGAGGTGACCACATGGCATGGCAGACCTCTCCTGACCCGCCCGCTGCTCCCCTCAGCAGTGTGCTCCGTAGATCTGCCTGCTCTGCTCCCTGCTCTGTCTCTGGTGAATCCTCTCACCCTCTGCATCTCTGGCCTGTACCCCAGTTCTGTATGAATAAATAAAATCTTAAAAAAAAATGGGAAAGGGAAAATTACCCCTTGTTAATCAACTGGAAAATTTAACATTGTTAAAATGGTCACCATATCCAAATTAATATATAGATTCAATGCAATCCCTATCCGTTTCACTGGCAAACTTCAAAAAAAAAAAAAACTAGAATAATATTATTTAAGTTTATATATAGAACCACAAAAGACCTCAAATAGCCAAAGCAATCCAGACAAAAAAAAGACTTCTAGATTTCAAACTATGCCACAAATCTACAGTAATCAAAACAATAAGGTACTAGAATAAAAATAGAAACATACCATTGGAACAGAATTGAGAATCCAGAAATAAAACCATACTTATATGAACAGTTAGCCTATGACAAAGGAGCCAAAAGTGTGTGTTAGTTCACAAAAATTAACTCAAATGGATTAAAGATTTGAATATAAAACCTGAAACCACAAATTACATAAAAGAAAACACAGGTGAAACACTACACAATACTGACTTCAGGTATTTCTTTAGGGATTATTCTAAGGCAAGGGAAACAAAAGCAAACAAATAGGACTTAATGAAATTAAAAAGATTCTGCACAAGAAATTATAGTTAAAGTGAACTGACACTCTACTGAATAGGAGAAAATGTTCACACATCATATATCAAACAAGAGGCTAATATCCAAGATCTACTAAGAACTCAGACAGCTCAACAGTAAGAAAATAAACAATCCGGGCCCTCCTTGGTTGTGTATAAGGTTAAAGTACAGCACTATGAAGCTATCTGTAGCCACCACAGCACGAGTTCGATCCCTGACCGAGTGACACACATGGCCCAGCAGATCTCTCCTGTCTTACCTACTGCTCCCCTTAGCAGTGTTTTTCAGTGGATCCACCCATTCTGCTCTCCACTCTGTCTCTGGTGAATCCTCTCACCACCACCCCTCAACCCGCACCTCTGGCCTATATTCCAGTTCTTGTATGCATAAATGTATCTTTAAAAAAAGAAAAGAAACGATCCAATCAAAAATTAGACAGAAGATATTAATAGATACTTCTCCAAAGAAGATATACAAAGAGCCAACAGACACATGAAAAAAATTATCATCACTTCAGGGAAATTCAAACCAAAACCACAATGAGATACCATCTCACATCCATGAGAATGGCTCATATCAAAAAGACCTGAAACAAAAAGTGTTGAATGGAATAAATTCAGAATCGAAACTACTAGAAGGGGAAGATAAAGGAGAGCAAAGTAGGGAGGAGGGTGGAGAACAAAGTAGGGAGGAGGTCCGAAAGTCTATGGTGGAGGATTATGACTGCTTTAGAGGTGGGTGTGGTATATTAATATACGTCTTTACAGGTGTGAATCTATGCACCTCAATTATACACAGTGTTGCAAACCAAGGATACCACAATTAAAATTTTGAAATAGACAAAGATCCTTAAAACCAACTTGTACCAGCAGATTCCAAATAACAACTGGTAGGAAGAGAAAACAAAAATAACAGAAATAAAAGAACAGGTTTATATTTGTAATTGTGAAATTTAAAAAAAGTATTTTAACCATGCTACCAAATCATACAGGTATTACTCACCATCATATTTTGCCAGGACTGCCTGTACATCTGCATAGGCCTGTAATTCTAAAAGTGATTCTAGGAGATTTTCATGGATGTTCAACATGCTAAGAGGAGGAAATTCTTTCAACAACTGTATATTAAAAAGAAAAGCAGATTAGATGTAAAAATAAACTATTATATATATTTTAAAAAGCAGATTAAAATTGTAACAGAGGAATTCAACACAGCTGAATCAGAATCATTAAAGTAGACATCATTTTGTTTCCTAACAAAAGCCTTAGAGATTGAACCCTTAGGAAATGAATGTATAAGGGCTCTCCCTGGTGGTGCAACGGGTTAAGGTACCACATTATGAAGCTCTCCAAAGCCACTGCAGCATGAGCTTAATCCCTGGCCAGGGAGCTGACCCACATGGTGTGGCAGACCTCTCCTGACCCGCCTATTGCTAACCTCAGCAGTGCGCTTTGTCAATCTGCCTGTTCTGCTCCCCACTCTGTCACTGGTGAATCCTCTCACCCACCATACCTCTGGCCTGAACTCCAGTTCTGTAAACATAAATAAATCAATCTTAAAAAAGAAAATGAGGCCCTCCCTGGTGGCGCAGCGGGTTAAAGCACAGCACTAAGAAGCTAAAGCCACTTCCGCATGAGTTCGATCCCCGCCTGCCCCGGAGGTGACCACATGGCACGGCAGACCTCCCCTGACCCGCCCGCTGCTCCCCTCAGCAGTGTGCTTCGTGGATCTGCCTGTTTTGTTCCCCACTCTGTCTCTGGTGAAGCCTCTCACCGCCCCTGAGCCTCTGGCCTGTACCCCAGTTCTGTATACACAAATAAATCTTTAAAAAAAAAAAAAAGAAAATGAATGTATATTAAAAAGTTACCTTGTTATAAAAACTACCAATTAGAAATCCAGGATTCAACTTTAAAATAACTGGAAATTTAAACAATGTTTTCAGTAATTTGGAGGAATAAATATAAAGGTCCAATCATCAAAAAACTTACATCTCTCATTATTTTTACTGCTTCTCGTATTCTTCCTAATTTCCTTGCACACATTGCCAATCTTCTTTTAACATATACCAGTACATTGGTATCTCTCCCTATTTAATAACAGACAAAAGACACAATTGTCACACCTGTACTATTACCTGTTATTTTATTACCATTATCCATTAATTTTATTTGCTTACCCTAGAAGATTTAGTTAAAATTACATTGTTTTAGAACATGTACACAATGGAATATTACTCAGCAACCAAAAAAAAAAACACATGTCTTTTGCATCAACATGGATGGAGCTGGAGAAGATCATGCTTAGTGAAATAAGCCAGAAAGAAAAGGAAAAAGTACCAGATGGTTTCACTCATAGCAGGAATATAATGGACCAGGCGAGAAAATAGTAATAATATTGAACAGCTCTATACCAGAAATATTTTATGGGGGTGGAGCAGGGAACGGGATCAAAAACAGTGGGGGGAGGGAAATGCACTGGACTGTGGTGATGGTACAGGGTGATTTGGTGATGGGAAGCCCACGGGGTTTGCAACTGAGATGGAAAAATATACAAAATGATGTAAAAATAAACTAGTATATATTTAAAAAATTACATTGTTTTAGAATGAAAAAATCATAAATGTTGTTGAATTTGGGTGATGAACATTAAATGGGAGCTCATTATATTGTATTTTGTATATGTTTGATCTTTTTAGTATGAAAAACTTAAAAAACGTCTATGTATATACATAGTTACTTTTGTCTTTAACAGCAAATAATCTGAATACAGTATATATTTTTTGTGTATACTTGACAATTTCATTTTAGTATTAACATAAAGAAAACACATACATTAACCTATTAAGTTTCTACATAAACAATCTATAATTTTAATATTCTCTATTACTGACAAACAAAAATGTTCAAAACAGAATCTCCATGACTCATGTAATCTGCTCAAAAGCTAAAATCTAACAAACTATGAAACTACTTCAGAAGGGCTAACAAATATTTCTTTACCCATCTGATAGCAGTATTTGAGATTAAACAAAGAGAAATGGCATGGCTTTTTACAGAAGTAGTTTCATTAGTTCCAGGCTGCATAATTATATATTCCCACAGTTATGTGTCATAACAGCAAGCACTAATGAGACACGCTGAATGCATCAATATTTAGTTTAGAGGGAAAACATTATCCAAATTTTAATTTCCACTAACAAAGGATTTAAAACTTAACTGCTAGCAGATAATGCATTATGTAAACATATTTCAATTTATTGTCCACTATCTGCCAAAATCATGAAACTGAAACTCTGGGCCACAAAAAATAGCAGGAAGCAATAGCATTATACATTGAAATACCTTTGATAAAAGTGTCTCAGTCATAACTGGGAAAGTATCCTGAAGACTGGAAAGAGAGGACCTCAAAAGCTGTGATCCCTATGATCTCAAAGAGATCACATGGAAAAATCAGCCAAACAATCAGCGCTGAGTATAAGGCTGGTTTCTGTCAGTGGCTACTCCTTGACATTGTATAGCGATACATACTATCTGCAGAGTGAATTAAATGCACTTCTACTATTGCTAGGGGTAAAGATGAGGGGAAAAAGGTTCTTATTATCACTAGAAGGCTCTCCTGGATTTGAATATTTTTTAGTTGTGTTTTGCCAACAACCAGCCCAATTCTAACATGAAATAAATTACTGTTATGTCTCAGAGCAGCACAATTCTCACCTGCCATAAGCTAGTACACTTTTTTGTCTTGCTGTCTAATAGATATTGTGAATAGATTAGCTATCTCTTATGAAGAGTAGCTAAGTTATAGTATTTTAAAAAATAATTGTTTTGTGTTTTAAACAAGAACCAATTACAGAAATGAAAAGACAGGTAAACGTCAGTTCAAATTTGCTTACTTAGTTGAGCTTCATGCTGAGGACTTTGGTGCTGGCACTGCTGTGACCGTCTATAAATTGTTTCTCCAGCCTTGAGTGCCTGTTTAAATAGCCTTTCAGCATCTACAATGGTTGTTGCTTCTTCCTCAGCCAGCAGAACATATGCAGTAGCACAGCTATGAGGGAAGCAAGCAAGGCAATTTTAAGAAAAAACAGCACTCTTGAGTATGTCCCTTTGCTCTCGGTCACATTTCTCAACCTTTATTTATATTTTCCATCTCCTAAAGAAAAAAAGATGTTGGCCTCCCTAGGGCACAAGGGGTTCAGTCTCAGCACTATGAATCTATCAGCAGCCTGAGCCAGGGAGTGACCCACAGGGCGCAGCAGACCTCTCCTGTCCCCCTCCTGCTCCCCTCAGCAGTGGATTTCAGCGGATCCACCTGTTCTGCTCTCCACTCTGTCTCTGGCGAATCCTCTCACCCCAACACCTCTGATCTGTACCCCAGTTCTTCTACATAAAAATAATTATTTTTTTAAAAGACTGTATTGAATATTTTAATTTACTAGGGATACATTGATACATTATTATGTCTGTTTCTACAACTCTTCCCCTTTCCTATCTTTCTCTTTATTTTCTTTTTCACTGCTATACCCATTTTATGACACTTCTCCTATATTTTTCTTTTATAGAAGTGGGAAAAAAAGAAAATATATAATCAAGTATCTCAAACTATAGTTCTAGGTACTATATACTCTAAGGTATAGTCACTATATACTTTGTAATCTCCATCCAATGGGGTTAGAAATGTGAGAGTAAATGAGAAAACAGCCCCATGCCCAATGAGGCATTCTTGACATTTGATTCAGAAATGCATCATCCCAAGACTAGACTTTTTCCCTCAACCCTAAGTATCCCTGTTGTGTGGTGCCCTGCCCACTCTTGACTCATCCATAATAGTACTACAGCAAAATTTTCCTTGGTTGAAACTCCAGTCTTTCCTCTTATATTCCACTCTGAGTCATCACCACATTTATAAGTTTTCTTTACCCCATTAAACCCTGTTGGGTTTTTTTTTTTTCTGTTTTAAGTCAAGTTGGCTAAAAAGATAAACTAACTTGTTATGAGGCAAAAAAGAGATATAACTTTTCTAACCCTTTCCCCAAAGTAACAAGTACATCTCTTCTGGAGACAATATTCTAGTCTGATTATCCAAGTCTGCATTGTCCAGGACACATGGAATTGTCAAGGACGTGAAATGAGGCTAGTCTAAACGAAGATGTGATGGCAATATAAAATACATACTCAATTTTGAAAACTTCAAAGAATGTAAAATATTTCATTAAGATATTTAAAATGTAGATTGCATACTAAGATATCTTAATATCTATAATATAGCTAAATAAAATGTATTATTCCATTAATTCCACTTATTCTTTTTCATTTTTCAGTCTAGCTAGATAGCTATCAAATTACTGGAGAAAAGAAAGGTCTTTCAGATAAAGAAAATTTAAACCATACTATTTCAGCATCCTTCAAATACCTTAAATTGAAATAAAATAATAATTTCACTCATTAACAGAGGTTCTCCATTACGTTGCACTGGAGTTCTCTGAAGTGTTAGACATAATGCTGCTATGTTGTGTTTAGTAGGTCTAAAACACAAACCTACTGGAAACCAAAGTTACCTTAATAAAATAATTAAGCCTGAAAGTGAAACACACAAAAAATAAGACTTCATTAAGCTTCACTGTGTGTAGATTCATCAGGTTTTCATCAAACTGAAATATCTTCAGTCATTAGCTGTTCCAGTATTCTTTCTGCCCTCCCCCCTTTTCTCCTTCTCCTTCTGGGACCTCATTACACATAGCTGCCATTCTTAATAGTATCTCACAAGTCTCTTAAGACCATTTTCTTCACTCCCTTATTTTTTTCCTGCTTTTTAGACTAGGTAATCTCAATTAGCCTACAGCCAGTGTGCTGATTCTTTCTTTTACATGATCAAATATCCTGCTGAGCCTCTGTAGGAATTTTTTAATTTCAACTATCACTTACCAACTCTAAAATTTCTAATAAGCTCTAATGGTGAGACATCTACTTCACGACTTCCTGTGGAATACTTCACATTCATTACTTTCTTTCTTGTATATAAGGTCTAGTTTTTCATGGTATGTCTTGTAATTTTTTTAGTAACTGGAAGTTTTGACTATTACATATTTGAATATGATTAGTTTTGATTAACTGTAGAAATCAGATTCTCCTCCTCCCCAGTTACTGTTACTGCTTGTTATAGTTGTTCTAATTTTTGTAACAAATTAGAGAGCTATCTAGCTAGACTAATTTCGTAAACTCTATATCCTTTGTCACATATGACCAGCAAAGTCTCCATTCCCTTAGCTTTGTGGTCAACAAGTGATTTGACAGAAATAAACACTTTGGAACCAAAAACAAAACTAGAAATAAATCTTTGCAAATGACTTCTATATTTGTGGTAGGTTTATTCTCAACTTTTGGTGTGTAGTTAACAAGTTTGTCCGGCCTTCACTTTCTGCTTATGCAGAACCTGCAAGTTAGGTAGACATAGAGCCTCGGCCTTCTCAAGTCTTTTCTGGGCATGTGCCCAAACTGGAGCATATGTAAGGTCTTTGAGATTCCCAGGAATACGTGAGAAATTTTCAAAGCTTTTATTTCTTAAAGTATCTCATTCCCCAGCCTTGCCTTCCAAGCTTTTTGATTAGTCTAATATTTGCCCCTGTAGCAACAGGGGTTAATTCATTTCCTTTTCAAAAAATGCTCCTTTCCCCACCCTCAAAGTATAGCAGGGTCAGTGCTGGGAGAGTTCCAAATTGACTAAAATAAATGCATGTCCCTCAGGCTGGTCCATTAGAGAATCACGAGACAGGTCAAAATAAACAACCACAATTCTTCTTGTCCACTTCTTCTGGTAGTGGGAACCTACACCCAAATTGCAAGCTGTTTTCTGAAGGTTGCCACTGACTCAGAAAGTAGATGGGGCCAATGTGAGATAAAACACCACAAAGCACAAAGCTCTTACATAAATGCAACTGTTTTTAAATTGGTTAAACATTCTTCTGTAGACTTGATTTACTCCTGGAGTTTCAATAAAGTTAATTTTGAGTTATTGCCAGTTTACTCACCCCTTTTGGAGTCTCCTACCCTACTATTTTTGTACCATGTTGGGAAGGCCAAAGGTGAGGGACATGGAGGACAACGCTAAGTTCACATCATTTAGGAACTATTATTCCTTGACCCATTTCTCAATTTCTATTCAAAAGTATAAACATTTACAATTTCAGAAGCAAAATACAGATGTCAGTGAATGCTATAAATTTTGCCTAGGTATGCAAAAAGAGAAAGGAGTATTAGTGATGACTACATGTGTCTTAGGAGCAAACTAAATGAAACAATCATTTCAGGGATTTTCTTCAAAACAAACTTATTTTCCATATACTTCAGACTCACTCATTGTTTAATTCTAAAGCTTGATAGGCTGCTTTGATTCGAGCTGGAGGATTTCTTTCTTTCCATGCCTTCTGCATAACTGTAGGAGAAATATTACAAAAAATAAGCTGGGAAACAAATCTTATTCAAAACATAAAGGGTGAGCTTGGAGAGTAAATAAGGATTTAAATAACATACTCTTAAACATAAAAAACAAGCTCACATTAACCTTGTGAGAAGTTCACATTAAATTTGGAAGTTCCTCAAAGAATAAAAATATTCTTTTTCTGATTTATCTGAATAACATGTAAGGTACTTCACTACATCATTATTATACATGAACATTTTTATACTAAATGCATATTAAAATCAAGCTTGACCAACAACAGATTATAATATGAAATGTTCTAGTAATTTTTTTCATTTAAAAAAACATTCTGGGCCCTCCCTGGTGGCGCAGCGGGTTCAAGCATAGCACTTAGAAGCTAAAGCCACGTCTGCATGAGTTCGATTCCTGCCTGCCCCAGAGGTGACCACATGGCGTGGCAGACCTCTCCTGACCCGCCCGCTGCTCCGGTCAGCAGTGTACTTCGTTGATCTGCCTGTTCTGCTCCCCACTCTGTCTCTGGTGAAGCCTCTCGCTGCCCCTGAGCGTCTGGCCTGTACCCCAGTTCTGTATGCACAAATAAATAAATGTTTAAATAAGAAAAACAGGTTCTACAGAACTGCTAGAAGTATACATTACACTTTAACACAAAGTCTTTGTCTAATCAAAGTTTTGATGAAAACAATAAAATCTGCATTTTCTGTAAAAAAAAAATAGGGGGAATCAATTTAGAGTATATTACATTTATGCAAAATGTCAGTCTCTACCCAACATCAATAAATGCCTGATTTAGGATCTTTCTAAAATAATGTTAGTTTGGCTACCATTTACTGTGCCAAAATAAAAACGTCACACTAAGTAAAGTTTCTTAAAAATTAAACAAACAAGTAAATAAAGTAGATTCATGAAATTATCTGGCCTATTTTAAATTTGATAAGAGAATATATGAATGTTGCTTTTGGAGCAAAACCTATAACTGTCCAGAAAGAATAATGTGGAAAATGTTTGCATTTTCCTTTGGAAATAAAATATTAGTCTTGGCTTAGAAAAGAAGACCACATATTCTACTTGTTTATTTCTCATATCAAAATACATTTCTCATATCAAAAATGACACCAGCTAGAAGACAGCTAATGTTTCCATGAACATGACAAATTAATGTAATACAGCACCCATCTGAAGATAACCAGGCAAAGAATAGCATTTTCCTGAAACATTAAAATTTTACATAAAAATAAAAGTATATTAGGCTGTGGGGCTCTCTTCTCTAAGTCATGTGATATTTGTAAGTAAGTCAAATAATGACACATTTTAAACTGTTATTTGGTATCCCCATATATTAAGCATACATTGGAATTGATTTCACAAATTCTCTTTTGATAGGCAATTAAATTATACCCAACTTTTTGCTAATCTAAAAATACTGTGATATCTCCCTTTCAACATCTATCTTCACATATCTGACTAATATTTCTTTTCTGGAAATGGAAAGGCTGGTTAAAATGTATGCATTTTTTGTTGGCAAGGATGTGGAGAAAAAGGAACTTTCCTGCACTGTTGGTGGAAATGCAAACTAGTACAACCACTATGGAAGTTTCTCAAACTGCTAAAAATGGAGCTTCCATATTATGACTCAGCAATCCTACTCCTAGGTATCTACCCAAAAGACAAAAATACTGACTCAAGGGGATTACAATTGAGATGGAAAAAAAATGTACAAAATGATGTAAAAATAAACTGTTATAAAATAAAAAAAAGTAATACAAAAAAAAAACTTACTCAAAAACACTTACACCTTCATGTTTATTGCTGCTTTATTTACAATAGGAAAAACATGGAATCAATCCAAATGCCCAAAAGTAGATGACTGGATTAAAAAGATGTAGTACATACACACACAATGGAATATTACTCAGTGATCAAAAAAAGATAAACACATGCCTTTTGCAGCAACATGAATAGACCTGGAAGGGATCATGCTTAGTGAAATAAGCCAGAAAAAAAAGACAAAATACCGGATGGTTTCACTCATAGCAGGAGTATAAAGGACCAGGGGAGACAGGGGAGAAAATAATAATAATAATGAACAACTATATACCAGGACATTTTACGGGGATGGGATGGAGAATTGGTGGTGGGAAGCCCACGGGGATTATAACTGAGATGGAAAAAGGCACAAAATGATGTAAAAATAAACGTATTATTAAAAAATAAAATAAACAGTTTTGGAAAAAAACACATATATATATTTTACAAAAATTTATTTATTTATGAATACAGAACTGGGGTACAGGCCAGAGGTGCAGGGGTGGTAAGAGGATTCACCAGAGACAGAGTGCGGAGCAGAACAGACAGACTGACGAAGTACATTACGGAGGGGAGCAGCGGGCAGTCAGGAGAGGTCTGCTGCGCCATGTGGGTCACCTCCGGGGCTGTGGATTGAATTCTGCACTGAAGTTTTGGCTGGCTTGCAGTGCTGCGCTTTAATCTGTTTTGCCACCAAGGAGGGCCCTAAAATGTAAGCATCTTTTGAGAGGTTTTGCATGTAGATTCTCAAACTTCTCTCCAGTAATACTGAACGCATTTACATTCTTTGAGGCAATATAGAAGGGACTGTTCTCCTATGTCCTTACTAACACTGAATAGTATCAATTTTTGCTAATACATAAAAATGATCCCATTTTCATTTATATTTCTTTTTTTTTCCAGTAAGATCATCTAATCTGCCTGTCAGCTTTTTTCTTATTCTTAGATTTTCAAATGCTCTAATCAGCCTTTCAAGATTATTCTTTTCAATCAACGTATTTCTCAGCCAAAGGGGAAATAAATTAGAGAAATAAAAAAATCCATTTTGGGGCCTCCCTGGTGGCACAGAGGTTAGTTTCAGAGCTATCAAGTTATCAGTCAATGCAGCATGAGTTCAATCCCCAGCCAGGGAGCTGACCCACAGGCTGCATGCAGTAGACTTCTGTCTCGCCTGCTGCTCCCCTCAGTAGTGTTTTTGTAGATCTGCCTGCTCTGCTTCCCGGTTCTTGTTTGCATAAAAAAATTAAATACTTTTGATATACACATATACAATTTCTTTCTAAAACAAAGGTTAGGAATAATTAGGGCAAAAAATTAGCATGCAACTGTCTTCTTTAAGAACGCTTGATATGCTTTAAAAACCATAAGCAATTAGTAATTCCCTCAAATTTATCTATTTTTTAAGTTAAATAATATTCTGATATGGTAACAGGGAGAAAAGAGACTAGTATTTATCCCAACAGTAGGGCTGCGAAATGGACATGCCTACCAAAACCCGGCAGAAAACACAGACAAGTGAGCTATCAGAACATGCGCTATCTAAAGAAACGAGTCATAGCTCAGGTCCAGTGGAAACTCTGGGCCAATTTTTGTCATATTTCCAATTGTCAAAAAGTGTAAATTTGAATTTTAATGTTAAATCTCCCAATTTTTAATTGTTAAAGACAAATTCCACATGCAAAACTATCCAAAAACAATTCTGAGGATATGTTTTGTTCTTGCATTAGATAAATTAACAAGATGAGAGCAAAATCTACTGTTTAGTAATTACCAGTGACAACAGTCAAGAGCAGTTTGTCACATCACACATAAACTCAAACTTGCCTATTGGAACATGAAACTAGAGATAAAAACACTACCTATATATGAATGTTTGCGAAGATCATACGGAACTAACAATCCAATCTGTCCTTGAGTTCAGGCTTCAGCTGGAGTTAGATGTATGTCAAAGAAACTTGCCAGACGCAATGTATGGTTTTAAATGACTTTATGTATTCAACTTTACACACTCTTTCCTGAAGAATGTTCCTCTGATTGGCCTATGGACCAAGTTGGTCTTACTTTCCTAACTTGATATCCAAGCATCCCCTGATCCTAGCGATATATATTCCCTTCTCCTACCTTACTAAAAAAAAAAACTGACTTTTCACCCATCCTGAATTTCCTTTGCAAGGTGCATTGCCCTAGAACTTAAAAATCTCTAGGCGCCAAAGGGACAACTGATAGAGCAAGTTTGGGAGCATTTTCAGTCAAGGCACTGATAATAGGGATCCCTGCCTATTACTTATCTAACAGTGATGTTTGGCATCAATATTCTGGCACCTGGGTGTTCTGAATTCAAGTATACTGTAGAAAGGGGGGAGAGTAATACAATTATAAATGTTCTATTAGCACCCTTCTCCCTTTCTATCAAAAGAAGCATTGTTCCAAATGGAAGATCACTTCCCAGTAAGGAAATGGGAAAGGCATAATACAGGCAGCAGAATTTTATTCTGGCCAAGAGTAAACTCTAGGCAAAGCTCCAAGACCCATCCATCTTTCTCTCCCAGAATCCAAATTCAGAAGAGAGATGGTTGTCATGGGAATGCACGTTAACATGTTTATTTAAATTGAAAAATGATGTCAGATTTCTGTCAGTGAGTAAATCTGATTTAATTGACAGGATTGAGAATTTACCCAGCCAATTACATAGAAGAAATTTTTCAAAGTTCAAGAAGCCAAATATGTAGCTCTAATAATTTGACAAAACTATAAAGTATATAATACCATTTAGAACCTTATGTTAAAAGAAAATTGTTAAAAATGTATCAAGCTGGCCCTCCCTCGTGGTGCAGCAGATTAAAGCACTGCACTGAGAAGCTAAAGCCACTTCTGCATGAGTTCGATTCCCACCTGCCCCGGAGAAGACCACATGGCGTGGCAGACCGCTCCTGACCCGCCCGCTGCTCCCCTCAGCAGTGTACTTCATCGATCTGCCTGTTCTGCTCCCCACTCTGTCTCTGGTGAAGTCTTTCGCCACCCCTGAGTCTCTGGCCTGTACCCCAGTTCTGTATGCACAAATAAATAAATCTTAAAAAATATATATATATCTGTAACTCCCCACTTGCGGAAAGGAAGATGAGGCCTTAATTTCCAGAGTCAACCTCAGCCCTTTAAAGTTAACAGACAATACTGATTTTCCACAGCTGTTATTTCCTTAATACCTACACTTTAACCACTAAAATAAACAAATATTAAACATATGCACATAAAGCAATTTATATTCTCCTATTTTGCAATTAAAACATTTTGTATAGCCATATCAAGGATCCTTGAATTTCCTGTTACTATATATTAGAGATATCATAATGAACTCACTTAAACGCTGGAAAATTTTGGTGACTTTTCTTCCTCCAATCAGTGTGGTGAGTATAAGTAATAGTATCATGGCTAAGAGTCAGACTTGACCTGGACACCCAGTTTATCATTTATTAGCTAGGAACTTACAGCATGTTACTTGCTTCCCCTTTTAAAAAAAAAATTATTTCTTTATGCATACAGAACTGGGGTACAGGCCAGAGATGCAGGGGCGGTGAAAAGACTCATCAGAGACAGAGTGGGGAGTAGAATAGGCAGATTGACTAACTACACTGCTGAGGGGAGCAGTGGGTGAGGCAGGAGAGGTCTGTTGGCCATGTGGGTCACTCCAGCAGGAATTGAACTTGTACTAAAGCTAGCTCAGCAGTGCTGTGCTTTAACCGGCTGCACCATCAGGGAGGGCCCTGATTCCCCTTTCTTGTAATAGTTATCTATTTTGATTTCAGTCGATCTGCCTGTTCTGTTCCCCGCTCTGTCTGTGATGGATCCTCTCATCCCCTGCACCTCTGGCCTGTACCCCAGTTCTGTATGTATAAATCTTTTTTAAAAATAATTATCTATTTTGTAAAGCAATTGAAAACATTAGTACATTTATATAATGTACTTAGAACAATGCTTGGTGCCTAGTAAATGCCATACAAATGTAGGTATGGATAGTGAAATTGCTTACCAAAACTTGTTTGTTCACACTTTGTCAAATAAAATAAATAGTAATACTTATAGTCTCTCAGGCAATGTGCTAGATTACAGGAATTCAAAGATGCTAAGAATATAGTCCCTGCTTTGCAAAGTTTCACACCCTATTAGGAGTGAAACATTAAAGCAACATGATAACATCAGTAAACAAATGTTTGAGCAAACCAATAGAAATTATTTTGAGTTTTGGACAAACACAAAGAAAAAAGTGTTTAACAAGAAATCCTAGAGAAGGCTTTCTATGAATGTGACTTTTAATTTAGATATTGAAGGATAAAAGCATTAAAAATAATACATGAAGTAAGAATAAGGATAGACATTCAAACTAGGGTAATTGTGATAAAGATTCCTGCCTTCAGGCCCATATTTAAGTCTTAATACTTTCATTAACAGAGAACTAATCACAAAATTATGTGCCTACCTAAGTTATGACTGGAATAAAATATATTCCATTTTTCTTTACACACCACACCACAAAGTTTAACTGTTATAACATTGTTACACTCTTTTATGTATTATTGCAGGTGTTAATTTCTAAACCAAACACACTGCTCTCTGTATAAGCAGCTGCTATAGTAGATCTGAAAGATATGTTAAGAAATAAAAGAAAAAATTTATTACTTTTATAAAATACTTCTAATTCTTTATAAGAAGAAAAAGTAGTAGAAGATATGACACACATACCTGTGTCTGAAGGACGTAAAAAGTCTGTGTCACAAGTGAAAAAGGTCTGATGATCCTGAGCTGACAAATTCATGTCATAGTATGTAAGTGGCTCTTTACCCGTCACCCAAGTGTATCTTTACCAAAACACAAGAAGACAGGTAAATTGGACTTGAGAGTGCATCTCTGTGCTGTAACAGACACTATTTGAAATTCAAAAAGACACTACTACAAATTTCATATCAAGATATCTAAAAGCTTATTGTAAGTAAATTAAAAGAGGGAACCTACACAAACTATTTAAAGTATGATAACAAAATATCAAAATCTAAAAGAGAAAAAGCTAGATTAAACAATGTTTCAAAATTGAATTTGCTCTGACAGTACAAACTTACTATCCTTAATCATACAAAGTATTGTAAACTAATGTAACCTCAACAAAGGAAACAAACCCCCCACAAAACTGGATTTGAAGGGATATAACAATTTGACTTAGATATAAAATCTCAGTGAGTTATAATTAAATATTAAAAGTAAAACAATACAGAAACCAAAAGAGAACACAGGTAGATTTTTATTAATGACAACATAATGAAGAGCTTTCAAAACTTAAAAACATAAATTTTTTTCCACATTTATTGAGAAATTTAAACTTTCAATATTTAAACTTATTGAAGAATTTCAAAGTTTAAACCAAAACCCACAATAATTAACAGCAAGTTAACACTCTGGCTAGTAAATACATTGTTTAAAAGTCCAACTTCATTAATAATTAACAGCAAATTAAAATGACAAACTTTAAATTGGCAAAGATATGTTGTTGTGAGGTAGGATGCATTCACATGTTGCTGGTATAAATGTAAATTGGTATTCACTTTCTTTTTCCAGAAACCAATTAGTATTATCTATCAAGAGTATAAAAAAATATTCACATTGAGTTATGGAAAATAACTGGAAATATATGAAAATTCATTATATTTTCTCCCTACTTTTTTTTTAAATTTTCCATATAAAAAATAATTACAGGAAGAAAAAATACTGTTCACATGCTTTAATTCAATTATTCCAGTACTATAATCAACTCTAAGGAAATAATCACAGATGTGACTAAATATTTACATAAAAGATACCACTCTAGTATAAATGTTAGCAGTGAAATATAATCTGTGACCAGATAGAGCAGTGATAGGTAAGGTATAATAACCTCACATAGCATACAGTACAGCCACTGAAGATTATGTTCTTTCGAAATTCATATCTCAGAGAAATTTTGTGGGAACATTATAACATGTTGTATCAGAAAGATATAAAGCTAATCACACATTATGATCGAACTGTATTTCGATACATACACATAAAAGAGTGGCTAAATGGAAATATTAGCAGCAATTATCACTTCATGGTAGGATAAGGTGATTTCTACTTTCTTTTTTATAAATGTCTTTTATTTTCTAACTTTCTACAGTGAATATGCATATATCTTATAATCAGAAAAATAAGTATTTTTAAAGGAAAATTATAAGCATTGTTTATATATATGAGATCAAAGATACATTTCCTTGCTATTTAGTTTTCAGCTTTTTGTGAAAATTACAAAAAAGAAAAAACAAATCTTTGTTTATTTACTTAGGAAATTATTTCTTATTTACATAAGAAATAATTTGCTAACATTTGAAAAACATACACTTACTAAGGCTATACTATAACTTTGTTTCCTAGAATCATACAATGATTATCAATGTAATTTTTATTTTACACTAAATCAAATCAATCATTCAAAAAAGAAGCATAAATGTTACTAACAAATGTCTCTTTATGATCTTCATGGACACTGCATAAGAAGGAACAGACCATAAATTATTTTACAGTAAGAAGTTCAAAGACCTAGTTCTTGTAGAATCTCTTAATATATGCTAATCAAATTTCTCATAAAAGTCTAGCTTTCACTTCCCAGGACATGTTCTACACTACTAAGTCCTTTCAGGGCTATTTGCTTAGTCATGTTTGAATCCCCATCATTTTGCACAGTGCCCATAGATAGAAATGTTAAGTTTCAATTAATTAGCCAGCCTGCCTCCAGGTAAAATACCCTTTCTCAAAACAAGTAAATAAAGTGTATAAGCAAATACACCTTTCAAAAGATGTTTTCTTAGAGTAAAAATTGGCAGAGTATGGATACAGTAGTATAGGTAGGAAATCACAACATAAAACACATAAAGATAAACCTTGTACTGTTCCACGACTGAATGTGCAATCTGCACTTTCAGATTGCAGTTTTTTAGTGAATCCTCAAACTTTGCAATTGAGCACATATGTAAAGGAATATTCTGACATGTGTAATTCTTTAAAATCTTGTGAGTTCTTTAAAAGGCTTTTGCCATAAATCAGCAATTAAAGATATACTTATTATGTATGACAAATATATGGCTTGAAGCAAGATTTCTCCTGATTATAAAAGTAAATACAGTCAACATGCTGACAACTAAACCCTAAACATTTTACATGATTATATACTAGTATCTCCAAGTAGAAGACTGTAATATATGCATAAAAACAAACATTGCATACTACTTCTTGCTCTTAAGCCACTGCCATAATTATATTGAAAGGAAAATGTAATACCTCCTATATTCTGCTCCTCTGAAAAGATTTAAAGGGTTTCTCCATACCTTGCATTCTGAAAAAAAAAATGCAAAAAGGGGGAAATGAAAAATGTAATCAAGTGCCGTGATTCGCATATAACCATTTACTACACACTCACTCTGTGCTAAGCACAGTCACCAGTGGCACCAAGAGGAACATGGTGTGGAGCACCCCTGCTGTCACACAAAAACAGTTCAACCCAGTCATTCCTTTCTTCCTTCACAGCACTTGGCTCACAATTCAGTTCTAGCCCTCACCATATCACAATGTGATTGTCTGACTTTTAGCTTTCTTTTTAAAATATGAGCTCATAAAGCTTTGATCATTTTTGCATCCCTGGAGCCTACCTAGCACAGCACTGGAACCTGTTTAGATGAATTAAAGGTAGGATGAGAGTTGTTATGGAAACATCATCTAATCTGTATAAGTGCTATAGTGGAGATTATGTTTTATCCCAAGAGAACTGATTAGTTTTGCTCTAGAGAAATCAGGAGAGGCTTTATAAAGGAGATGACGCTGAATCACTATAAAAGATGAGGAGTGGGTTGCCAGATGAACACTCGAAGCAGAGGAAGCTATAAATGAGGCTACACAACAGATTGGGGGAAATTATAGACCACCTAAAGGAACACAGATCCCATATAAAGGAGTTTAGACATCAGATGATCAGAAACCACCAAAGGTTCATAAGCAGAAAAGTGTCAAATCTGTGTTTAGATCAATAGTTCTCAAAATATGATTCACAAGACTACAAAATGAAGCACTCCTTTCATAACAAATGCAAAGAAAATTTGCCTTTTAACTACACTGACTTGAACTCAACCCTAAGAGTGAGGGCTTCCTTAAATCTTGTGCACCAGAACCTCACTTACTTTATTCCAGTCCCAGTCTTGCAAAGTTGAGCAGCTCGTACAAAATTAATGGTGGTTAAAGCCTCTAGTATTTAGCGTGAATCAAGGCACTAACAATGAAGTATAGGTTCTTGACTCCTACCCCAGTGAAATGAGGCTAGTATAGTGGTTGTCTTTAGGATAAGCAATTGTTTTTTGAGTTGAACTGTCCATTTTTCTCTTAGAAAACCACTCTGACTTGAAAGAGCCACTGAGACAAATTTGTGGCTATTTGGACAGATACCTGTCTGTCAACTTCAAGGAAGAAATAAAAAAAAGTATTTTCTGCCAGTGATAACTTTTCAGCTTCCAGGCAAATATTTAAATTTTTTTAAAAAGTGCTATCTGCTAACTATGAGTCTGGCAACTTCCTGATAACTTAGAAACTTTTTCTGTGAGATTGGCGATATTTACAAATATGACTTTTTTAACTGTATAATAAAATGTGTCAACATTTGGAAGATAAGCATAGTTCAGTGAACAAGTATTTTCTAAATGACCAATGCACAGTGTTATGAAATTTTGCATAAGTAAAATCCATTAGAAATATCAGACACATCAATGGATTTTAATGTAACGGCACAAAATGTTCATTGGGATAGCCTCATTTTCCACGTAGCAACTTAACCTTAAATATCTCTTAGTTTTGGTGTGGTATCAAAAAAGAATACCTACAATTTTCTTTACAGGTTATTAAAATATTCCTCCCAACATATACACAATGGAATATTACTCAGCAATCAAAAAAGATAAACACATGCCTTTTGCAGCAACATGGGTGGAGCTGGAAGGGATCATGCTTAGTGAAATAAGCCAGAAAAAAAAGAAAAATACTAGATGATTTCATTCATAGAGGGGCATGAAGGACCAGGGAGGAGAAAAAAAAGAAGAATGAACAACTATATACCAGAGACATTTTACAGGGGTGGAGTGGGGAATGGGATCAAAAATGTGGAGGGTGGAGGGGGGTAAGTGCACTGGACTATGGTGATGGCACACAGGTGATTTGGTGATGGAAGCCCACAGGGATTACCACTGAGATGGGAAAAGGCACAAAATGATGTAAAAATAAACTATTATATTAAAAAAAAATTCCTCCCTTTTCCACTCTATATATCTATATAAGGTCAGTTTTTTTCATATACTTCAACTAAAACAATAAATCATAACAATGCAGAAACAGATATGAGAATAAGCTCCTTCCCTTAAGCTAGACAATACAGAGATTTAAACAAACATATATGGAAGTATTCTGACTAATCTTTCTGTTTTGGAAAATACAATCAATTTTATAGTATGTGTATCAGTCAACACAGGCTGCCATAACAAAATACTGAAGACTAGGTGCCCTAAACAATAGAAATTAATTTTGTCACAGTTCCTAAGGCTAGTCTAAAATGAGGACGCTGGCAAGGCTAGATTCCAATAAGAGCGCTCTTCTTGACTTACAGATTGTTTCCTTTTCCCTGTGTCTTTCCATTTCTCTTCACAAAGTACAGAGAGAGACTGATTTCTCTTCCTCTTCTTGGTTCTCTTACTTCTTTGTATAATTCTATCAGATTAGGACCCTGCCCTTGGGAGTTTCTTTAACTTTAATACCGAAAGTCCTTCAAATATAGTCACATTAGAGGTAAGAGCTTCAACATAAGAATTTGGGGAGGACACAGTTCAGTTTACAGAAATATGCAAAGAGTTTATCATTATTATTAAGGTAATTTAGTTAAGTTTTTCTTAGATGGTAAATACTAAGAGCTAATCTAAATAATCAAAAGTTCCTTGAGGCCCTCAGTAATTTTAAAGTGTTTTCTTGAAGGTATAAAGTTTGAGAACAATTATTTTTTTTTTACATAGTAAGAAAAGAGGATGAATTAGAAGAAGTATCGAAGGCAGATAAACAAGTTAGGAGACTACAGTGTAGAAGTATCAACTAGATATGGGGCAATGAGTGTTTAAGTAAAAGCAGGATAAATCAAGATAATGGGGGGGGCAGAAATCAATACAAAACAGGGGCTTGTTTGGAGAAGAAAAGGGAAATAAGAGGATGTGTGAAACAATTCAAAGGTTTCTTGCATGGAAATTAGGTACCATTAACAAATTTTAGAATTGTGGAAGGAGAACTAGAAGAAGATAATTTCATTCTGGACAGTGAGTTCAGAGTGTGTAAGGCCATTAAAGGTGAAGATTTCTAGTAGAGTTAGTAATGCAGGCCTAGAATTTAAAAGAAAACCTGGGGGTAGAAATTTAAAATTGGTTTTCCCAATATGTTTGTAGAGGATATTATAGGATAAGATGCAATTACTTCGGGAGAGAAAGTCAAACCAAAGAACTGTAACTCACTTTTGAGGCTGATTTAAGCACCTCTCCTGTCAAACGTTTTGCCAGCTTTCCTTCTAAGAATAACTGAATTCTTTCCTGTCACCACAGTATCTTCAAAATACTCCATAAAAGTATCTTTTATACTTTATGCCATCACTTATTTATGTGTCTGCCAAAGTGGCAGACACATGCCTCTACCAAAATGGCATGTTCTTAAGGGCACCTTCATTGACATTACAAAACAGTCAGCTCAAGCTTACAAGAGAGAATAAGAATATACTGACACAATGCATTCCTGTTGCAATATAATGAACTCTGAACTTCTTGAGGATGGCTATGAGGATCTATATCATAGCCACCTTAATATATCCCATTCTTAGAAGTTCTGCAACTATTTTATGAAAGGAGAGGAAGGAGAAGAGAAAAGAAAAACTGTTATTCCTTTCTGTGCTCTTGAATGGCTTACAAACCTCCTACAATACCTGGGCAAACCCACTCATGCATGAGTGGAGTAACATGTAACACTTCCAGAAAGTGTCCTGTGTAGCTACAGGATAAAAGGGGGTTGTTTTACTGGCCTGTTTTCCGTCCTGCTGATTGCAGTGTGGATCTGAAGATGAGAAACCAGAAGCACTGTCTTAGATTATATGGAAAAACTGCATTTGGAGATGGCAGTCCAATAAAATGGGAGTCTAGGCAGTAGAGCTAAAAAGACACTTCTCCAAAGAGGAAATGCAGATGGCCAACAGGCATATGAAAAAATGTTCAACATCACT